CATGTCAGTAGTGTTGTTCGTGCAGTGTTAGGTCTAGCAGAGGTCATGGCACACTGCCAGGCCGACCAGATTGAACAAGAGAGCCTCAGCAAGTTCCTGGACAGAAACTTGTGAGCAAGTTTGGGAAGAAACCAGATAGAGTTAAGAGCTGATCTTTGGGGGTTAAGCTTATCTTAGGAAGGTAATGATGCCCTAAAAATTTCAGCTCCAGAGGATCACGCAGAAAATGCACTTCCTTCACAACATGCATTTTTTGACCAGAAAGGAAAAGATTTTCTGTAGCAAAAATACTCCAAAAAACCATGAAATATTTTTGCACAGGAACTTGGTCCAAGGTCCAAAGAATTTTGGGAATTTTCTCAGATTTTTGTGGGCAAGAAAAATGAGGGTTGCTTTGGAGCAGAAGTGAATGAAGAGCTTTATCAGAGAGAAAATGAATATTTTTCATTTAAGAAAAATATTCCCAAGACAATGTTGAGGTATGACAGAGGGCAAGAGATGTGTTTGAGGGTGAGATGAGTCACTTGGGGTGAAAATCAAAGAAATGGGTTGATTCAAAACTCAAATTCAATTCAAAATGCAATAAAACCAAGAAAAAAGAAAAGGGGCAAAATCCAGGATGTCACAGTGTGGGCCCCATGGTCGGCCCAAGTGACATCCTTCGGGCGCCTTCCTCTTCCGCATCAAAATTCCCAGCATGTTTTCTTGTATTTTGTTGGTGAAGTCTTAATACCTGCCATGTAATGACAACATATGCAACTATGTAAAATGGCATTAGTTTAACATATATTATTCAATACAGACAAGTTCATAGGAGAAACCATAAGAAAATTGGTCCAATAGGTAGCTAGATTTTGGATGCATCATCTACTCGGTTGGAGCATATATCCAATGAGGTTTTTACCAAGCATATAGATGATAGTTTAGTCTACGGATTGGTCTTCCATCACCCTAGGTTTTTATTTTCTTGCTTTGTCAAACCATGTCGCCTTTTTCCATCTGTTTTGTATGTGTTGGACTATGTGCATCTAGTTATGCATAAGCCAGGTTGGTTTGCACTCAGTACAACTGTGTCACCTTGACGGAACGATTGAATGAAATTACCATCGGAAAAAAAATCTCATAGTTTCTCCATGAATTAACATTTACATGTTGGTAACTTGAATAATGTGTTCATCGCCAATGATGGGCTGATGTGCATTTAGGACTCGAATATCTGCACACCAATCCCGTGGCTCAACCTTACGTCTCACATATCCTACTGAATGATAACTTCGAGGCGAATGTCGTTGATTTCACGTTGTTCAAGACTTTCAATCAAGACAGTGATACCCATGTCTCCACAGTCAGGCTAGTTGGCACACACAACTAACATGCCCCCAAGTACATGCCACAATACCATCTTCTAGATTCTTTTTATTATCATTGTGAGTGTATGAATAAATCCCATTTGACCAACCATATTGTGCAGGTATGGCATATATCTTGTATTAGTTTGTTTGTAGGTACATAGCGGCCCTGAAACTGAGCGAGGAGAGTGACATGTACATCTTTGGCACTGTTCCATTGGAGGTGATAACGGGGAAGCTTTCCATCCTATGATGTCTGGAACAACCAATATCGTTTAATGGGATCTCCAATGGCTTGGCAACATCAAAGACCTGGTGGACTTGCGCATGCAATGATAAAATGATGTCAAGAACGTGCGGAAGGCCGATGATGTTGCACCTAAAATGAACCATGCAAACTTTTGCCTGTGCAGCTCAAGATGATCAATGTAGTGTAGCCGCAAGACTGTCATCATCTAGAGGAGCAACAATGCATTTAAGCCTTTGGGGTGGAGCAGAGTTTTGCAAGGGTATGTCGTGTGATGAAAATGCCATTGTTCAGCATATAGTATAATTATATGGAGCACCTTTTTTCAAGATTTACAACTATCTTCTTTGACACTGAAATGACATATGCACAAACATATGCATTCTATACAGAAAACAACTCCAGTTTTCTATTAATTGCTAAAGAAGCTGCCGGGAAGGATTCTGACTAATGTTTTGACTAACAGCAGAGGCAATAACTAGAACATGTCTAATGGGAAAAAAAGTTTTAAACGCAACATTTGCATACTTTCTGTGTTAAAATGAAGACGTGGTCCGTCTCAATGGCGAAAAATATCTAGTATGATTGAATAATACATGGAGGGTTTATCATGCAGCAGAAGTGCGTGACCATTGACCATGGTTGGCTCCCTCCAAAAATGAATTAATGTTGATCATCTCAAATAAAGTGGTGCCATGGGTTACATTAGTAGTAGACTACGATCACCGTTGCAATTGGCTGTCATGTAGAAGCTACCCTTAGGGTTTTGTCCGGTGTGGTCTTCACCCTCTAGATCGAGGCAATATTGTAATTGGGCTCCCACATTAGTCATTGTTGGACGTTGTGCTGGAGCATGGTCGGTGCACTTGAGTGCAAGACCCAGGGCCTTCCACACACTGTTGATGTTGTAGTCACGTTGCATGTGTGCGTCCACCACTTCCTCAATGTTGCCTCCTTTGAGGTGTAGTCGTGTCCACTGGATGATGTGGATGACCTCATCAGATTGTTGGATGGCTGGGCGCCCTGTGATCACCTCTAGTAGTACGATGCCGAAGCTATACACATCACTTTTTTCATTCAGTTGTAGGGATATTGCGTACCTGCATACATACATACAACATGCATGAGATGCATTTGCATTACAGATGACATGTACTTGTAGGCCACTAAATATGATAATAAGCTAGGTTTTTATTTACTCCGGTGCGAGGTAGCCTCTTGTGCCAATAACCCGCGCTGTGGATACATGGGTATCATCGTCATGATTGAAAGCCTTCATCAAGCCAAAGTCAGCAACTTTGGCCTCGAGATTTGCATTCAGTAGGATGTTTGATGTCTTCACATCACGATGCACGAAGGGAGGGCTGCACGCCTTGTGTAGATAGTCAAGCCCTGCATGCACACCATATTGTCGATAGTGACATAACAAATCACACATTAACATCTAACTAAACATAGATATAGTAGCAGTATGAATAATGAACCAGATCCCAAATTAGAAGAAAATATATACCTTCTGCGGATTCTAGTGCAATACGGAGCCTCTGCCTCCAGGCTAAGGGTACAACATTGCTGTCTTTCCGTGCGAAATTGTGACTAATGTTAGTAGTGTGTAACTTGACATAGAGATTTCTAATGCTCTCTATTTTTGGAAATTGTCCTAATGCTCTTCCCAAAGATGGACTAGCACACCTCTGAGTTTATCTTCGAGGTTTCCTTCAGACATATGCTCGTAGACAAGTGCCAAATACTTTCCATCTTTGCAGTAACCAATTAAGGAGATAAGATTCTTGTGATGAATCTTCGTCAATGTCTGAGCCTAAGCGAGGAGAAGAAATATGTGTCATAGTTTTTTTTTTTTTTGCATATGTACTATGCTCTAGTTATACTTGACCAGACATTACCTCTGTCGAGAACTCTTTAATACCTTGACTGGAAGACTGAGACAACAACTTGACTGCAACGTGAGTACCATCATGCAAGAAGCCCTCATAAACAGTGCCGAACCCACCTTGGCCAAGCACTACCTTGAAGTTGTCTGTTATGACCTTCAGCTCCCTATACGTGAACTGGCGGTTCTCCAATTCGTGTTGTCCATGTCCATGGCTTCCCCTTGCCAATCCTTCAAATTTCAAGAGTGAAAATAGCATTACCTTGCACTCTTTTGAGCAAAACTATTCATTGCACATGTGTGGATATCATATGTATATCGACGTAGTGTTTATACGGAGTGTTACCTTTCCTTTTTCTCACTATGAAGATCAGTAGTACTACAAGTGCTCCTATCAGCAGAACTACAAATACGGGAACAACAATATAGGCGGCAAGCATAGAGTTGGTCTTCTTTTTTGTGAGCTGGCAAGAACTATTGCTGCTACAAAGGCTTGGATTGTTGCCATATCTGCCAATAAGAAGAAAAACTAGATATCAGTTTTGAATTTTTACCAGGCAGTGGATATATATATATAAGATGTACTAACCTAATAACTAGGGGGCCACCTTGAGTTCTCTTGAGAAGCCCGGGAGGAATTGATCCACTAAGCTGGTTAGCAGTCAAATCTCTAAGGGGACCAAATAGGGTTCACGTCAGTCAAACAATAGTGTACATAGTTATTACGTAGCCCTCAAAGATATCATAATGCGGAGCTGCTTACAGCACCACAAGAGTGGGTAGTCGTGAAAGGACATTAGGAATTGATCCTGTTAATTTATTGTTCGATAAATCCCTGAAATAAGTGACAAAGCATACAAAATATGTGAACCATTTCCCTGACAAAATTCACAGGGAAATAGATTTAAAATGTCTACTTACAAATACTGGAGATCTTTGATATCAGCGAAATAAGGTGATATATTGCCACTCAAACCGCCAGATGACATGTTTCTTGCAGAACATAAAAAATTTCAGTTGAAACAGCATTGTTCTCATTTTTTTGGAATAATTTCTTGTGCACGATGACAAATTAAATTCTTCAGAACATAGCTGTAGTTCTTTTCAAAAAGGCAAATTAAATTTGAACTTACATGCTTGTAATTCTTGGACGCCCAGAAATAGCATAGCTGCAGGTCAACCCGTCCCATGCAAAATTCTTCGGGGCGCACAGGTCACCCATCCAATTCTTCTTCACATGGTACTGAGCCTTAATGGCGTTGATGGCAGAAACTTTTCCCCACAGTAACACAATAGACAAGGAAGCACAACTATCAGATCATGTAAGCTCTGTTTTATGAAAAGCTTATCAAAATAAGAACAAAAAATGATCTGATATCGATGTGCGAAAATAAGCTTCCATATGTTTACCATCCTGACTTTCCGTTCCAACGTTGGCTGTGGAGATGACGGAGAAAAACTCGAAGGCATTGATGATCGGTGGCAGTGTCGAGTTGGCAGTAGCGATCATGGTTTAGTTGTATTGGTTGTAGCCATGATGGGGTTCCCTGTTAGATATGGCGTCGGCGACGAGGTACTCGAGCGTGTACGGGAGCTTATTCTTCTTGCCGTTGGCAATGACATTAAACTCGCGCACATCATTACTGGCCAGGATCTGCAGCTCCGCGACGTACAAGATACCAATGCACCTACGATTAGTTAAATGGTTAAGCTAATTAAGTACACTTCTATATTAGTAGTACTATAGATGATAACCCGCATGTTGCAGCAGATATTTATAGGAAGTAAAAGTTGTAAGCCACACAAAGTAGATGATTGTGTGACAGGCATTCAGTCCTTCCTTGTAGATGTTAAGAAACTTTGATATGCAAAGTTACAATGTTCTTTAGCCCAGATGTTATAGTACCATGCTATTTGTTATGTTTTCTTACTTAAATTTAACAATATTAATCTAATTAATATGCCCATTGGTGTTCCAAAAGTACCTTACCGGATTCCTCGAGATGGAGCGACTTGGGTTGATCTTATACTCCCTCATCACAAATTAAAATATCTAGACAAATCTAAGAAGTAATTTGGGACGGAGGTTGTACAATGTTATGTATCTAGAAATGACACCTTTTTTTAAGTCAAGAGATTCGTTTCAAGATCACGAGTCATATTATAGGTCTCAAGGTAGATCAAACAGCTGTGACACTCCTAAATACAAATTATCTAATTCACCACTTCATAGCGAATTAGAAAAAAATCCCATAGTAGTGTGGGAGAAGGGAACTACACCTATGTGAA